AGAGAGAAGGCAAGCAGCAAGAAGCCTGGCATTCTCCTCTGCCTTGGTCTTTTATACCTGCTGCCATCAGAAGGTAACGCCCACATTTAGGGTGTGTCTTCCAGCTTTAGATGATCCAATCAAGAAGATCTCTTTCATTTCAGTTAATTCCAGATCCAATCAAGTTGACACCCAGGATTAGCCATCACACATCCCTAGCACCCAAAAAACCCAAGCAGGCTTTCTGCTGTCCTCTCTACCTATACTTAGAATTAAATCCAAATGCCTTACACTGGCACTGGCAAATCTTAAGAAAAAAGGTCAAGGGGTTTCCTTCACCCCACATTGCCCACCTCCCAATACTCCTCATTTCTCTGTACTTCTCTTTATACCTATTCTTTAAGTTGCCAGGCTTGGATGTGTGTGTGATGAAACAAGGTCTAGATATGTAATCCCAGCCACCCTCAAACTCATCCTCCTGCCCTAGTCTCCGAGTAGATGGAATTACAGATACGTAACTGGCCAGACTTGATACATCTACACATATTGTGTCTGTTTCCCTCATTTCCCAGTCTCCCTTCAAACCATTCCAATCCTATTTCCCACAGCTATGATCTTGCCTCAAAAAAAAAGGATGAAGGCCAGTGAGAGGGCTCAATGCATGAAGGCACTTGCCACCAAGTCTGATGACCTGAGTTCAATCCCTGTGTCCTACAAGGTGGAAAGAAAGAACTGACTCCTGTAAGTTTTCTTCTGACCTCCATTCATGCACTATGGCATGCATGAGTCTACACACACACACAAACCCCAAAAAATAAATACATATAAAGATTGAGTATGAAATACTCAGGAATATATCTAACCAGAATTTCAAACCCTGTACAAAGAAAACAACAAAACATTGTTGAAAGAAATTAAAGAAACTCAAATAAATAGAAAGATATTTGAGTTAGATTGAAATACCGAATACTCGGTCAGGTGTGATGGCACATACCTATAAATCCCAGCACTCAGGAGAGAGAGGCAAGAGGATTGCTACAAGTTCAAGTCTGGCCTGGTCTATACAGCAAATTCCAGGCCAGCCAGGGCTACATAGTAATACTTAGCCTCAAGAAAAAAAAAAAGGAATAAACTCGGACAGAGGCATAGTGGGACATGGTAGTATGAAGGCTGCAGGTACTGCCTCTAGCTCTTAGGAGGCTGAGGTGGAAGGAGACCAGGAATTTGAAATCAGCTTGAGCAACATAATAAAACCCTTTCTCAAAATAATAATAATAATAAAGGTAGAGAGATCTCACTTCCAAATTCCAAAAATAGGAAACTAGAACAATCAATGCAATACAATACTAGTATAATAGAGACATACAAACCAGAGAGAGTCTACAAATCAATTTTAAATCAGGGCTGGAAATATAGCTCAGTGATAGAGGGCTTTCCTAGCACGAATCAAGCCCCAATTCTGTTCCTAGAACCATAAAGAAAATAGACAGAAATACCAACTTTATAATTTAGGATACAGTATGATTCCAGTTATATTAAATTTCCAGAATAGGCAAATCCATCCAATAACTTAGAAAGCACACTCATGTTTTCCAGAGGATGGGGGGGTGATACAGGGTTTCTCTTAAGGTTAAAGAAAAGATTGTAGAATTAGATAGTAATGGTGGCTACACAGCTACAAAGTGAGAGACACCTGGGAGAGAAGAAAATAGGAAGGGATGGAGATATCAATACTAATTCATAATTTTGCTAACTACAGAGTGGTTACATAAGGAAGTATTTCTAATTTGGAGAAATACATTCCAAAGTAGCATCAATGTAGCATTTAAGGACAAAGGGGAATCATATTCGTAATTTAGTCTGAAATGATTCAGAAAAATAATAGAAGCAGCAAGACTGCTCAGCAGGTTGGAACCCTGAAATCCATGTAATGGTGGACGGAGAGAACTGACTCCAATTCCACAAAGTTGTCCTCTGACCTCCACATACACACAGTGATGTGTGTCACACATACACACACACACAAATGCAGGCATGCACAATAAATAATTATTTTTAATTTTTTAAAGGTAACAGAGGAGCCAGGCGTTGTGTTGCATGCCTTTAATTCCAGCACTTGGGAGGCAGAAAGAAACAAGCAGTTCACATAGTGAGTTCTAGGCCAGCCTGGGCTGCAGGGAGACCCTGTCTCAGAAAAAAAATGACCAAAAAAATTAATAAAGATAACAGAGGATGAAGCTCGGATGGACCTCAGTGGGAAAGCATTTATCTAGCACGTATTCAGGCTCTTAGTTTGATTCCCAGCATCACAAAAACAAAGGAGAGGGAGAGGGCAAAAGTAAATGTGGGAAAGTATTGCTGACAGTAGATGAAATCTCTCTGTACTGACAGGCTGGCCCATGGTTAGCATATGTGAAGTCCTGGTCAAGGTTCAATCCTTAGCACACAGACAAAACAATCATCTAATAAAATATTGCATGAACTGACTCCTGTAAGTTTCCGTATGACCTCCATATGCATGCTATGGCATGCATGAACATACACATATACACAAACACTAGCAAGACACTGAGCTTAACCTTCTAACCCTCCTGCCTCTATCTCCCAAGAGCTTCGATTACAGGCATGTGCCACCAAGCCCAGCTAAATAACTCACTTTAAGTAAATATATTTTATCTATAGATAGATATTAAAATATACTTTCAATAACATCAAAACCATTTACCAGGTACAGGGCTGAATTACTAGCCAAAACATATGTTACTACAGGCTTTTCTTTTTGGTCTTTTTGAGACAGGGTTTCCTTGTAGTCCCACCTGGCCTGGAACTCATTACGTAGACCAGGCCGCCTTGAACTCACAGAGATCCACCTGCCTTTGCTTCCCAAACACTGGGATTAAAGGTGTGTGCCACCATGCCTGCCAATAAAAATCATTTTTAAAAGAATAAGGCAGCAATAGCCAGGCGTGGTGGCACACACCTTTGATCCTAGCACTCAAGAGGCAGAGACAGGCGGATCTCTGAGTTCAAGGCATGCTCCCAAAATATCTCTTAAATAAATGAGTACTTTTTTCAGGATGACAATTACAGTCAGTTCAATATAACATGTGAGTTGCTACAAAAAAAAAGGAGGGGGAGGGGGGCCGCTGAGATGGCTCAGTGGGTAAAAGCACTTGTGGTCAAGCCTGATGACCTAAATGTAATCTCCAGGACTCACTTGGTAGAAGGTCAGAACTGACATCTACAAGTTT